AACGCTTATATTTCATTAGCAAAAAAGGGTACAGACGCCAATTCTGCTCCATATCCTTTAATAAAGCAATAAACTCTCGCTTGGGATTTTCATATTGAAAAGGCGGTGGCAACTTTCATCTTCATAACAACAAACGTCATTTCCGGAAGAAGATATAAGGAAAAAAACCAAACAATTGGCGGAAGAACTGAATCCGAAATAATTAGCATATGAAAATTTCCGATTTTTTGTATTTTCTCTTTATAAACCTTTATAGAAATAAACGCCATTATAACTCCAATATGGCCGCAATGCAAATGAGCAGAATGAACACCATTTTTCTACATGAAAAATTACGGCATCTTTTAAAAATCTTCTTCTCAATTACCACTGGGCCTGGAAAGATAAGCTCATGTAGAAGCATCCTCAGGTGGTGTAAATTCAAGTCTGTTCAAATCATGACTCCGAGCATAGAAAGGGGCCACAGTGGGGGATCAAATTTGAACCTAGAAATACATAGCAATTTCTTTTTAAAATTTTCTCAAGAACCACTTGGCCAGGAAAATTGAAACTCTTGTGGAAGTATCCCCAGGTAGTGTAGATTCAAGTTTGTTTTTTCATAACCCCAGGGGTAAGGTGGGGGCCACAATGGGAGATCAAAGTCTTACATAGAAATGCATTTAAAAATATTGTTAAAAATCTTCATAAGAACAGCAAAGCCATGATCGGTCATATTCATATGGAAGCATTTTCAGTTGGTGTAGATTCATGTTTGTTCACATCATGACCTCCAGGGGTAGGGTGGGGTCACAATGGACGATTTAAGTTTTACATAGGAACACATATGGTTATTTTAAAAAGTTTTCTTTCTAAGAACAGCAAAGCCATGATAGGTCATATTTAGATAGAAGCATCTTAAGGTGGTGAAGATTCACGATTGGGCCACTAGGGGGTTAAAGTTTGAAAAAGACATAGTTTACATAGAAAAATATCGTTTAAAAATCTTCTCAAGAACAGCCAAGCCAAGATTGTATTAGCCTGGTACCCGAGGCCTTCCGAAGTGCAGGCACGAAGGCCAGGCACTCACTGTCGAATGTATTCCTCCATTGAGCAAAATCCAATATGGCGGACTCTATAGTAAGTAACGGGAATATAGGTAAATGAGCGAATCATGGCTTAAGTAGCTGTGTCACTTTCGATTTTTCGTTATTAATTGCCAGGAACGGATCTAAACAAACACATCTAGGGATGTCAACGAATATTCGAATATTCGAATATTCATTCGATGAGTTGATATTCGAATATAAATTTATGATTCGAATATTCGGATTTTAAGTATACAAGCATCAAAAAGAAAAAAACATCTGGCAAAAACTGAAGTTTTATCAGAAATTGAATCAAATACTTATCGTTCACCAACAATAAGATTTTATTTAAAACAAAATTAAGAGACACTCCTCTTGGATTACCTTAAAGGTGTGAGGAGTGTATATATTAAAATAATAAGAATTATTCATTTGATCATTTAATTAGAGGTATAACAGTGTCCAGTACTTAGAATAAGTTTGTATTGTTGAAAATATTTAGGACAAATTTTTTAAGTAACACACATGGATCCCTTGTTTATGTATACATCATTTAAAATCATTATCAGGAACTTGATTAGCTTAGAGTAATTGCTTTTAATGTTTCTCCATTAGATAATTGTTCTGTGTGGTATAAATCTGTAGGGTTATCAGTGTACACTTTGGTAAGATGATTAATTATTCGGGAACTTATTAAAAGAATCTTTTGAATTTTCGGGGGAAATTTTTTTATTATTATATTTTGGATGTAAACTCTTCATATATTCTGTAAAATATTTCAAGAATATACATGTAATTATAGTGCATTTACAAAACTCTACATGAAATTTTATTCCTAAATAATAACATTAAACGTATATTGCTTGACAAAAGAGTGAAGATGTATACATATTATAAAGATGTATTTATTTTATCGAATATTCGAATATATTCGAATACTACTATCGAATATTCGAATATCAATTATTGACAATTTTGACATCCCTAAACACATCATGTTTCGTTTTCCAAGTGACACATTTCCTTTATGCAGTTTTATACCTTTATTTACGAGCAAGTATGCGGTTCGTCAGCTCACCCATTTTCCACGTGTGTATTAAATTAAATATGACTGTGTCGTTTCTTTATTTCTACCATTCATGGCTTATATCGTGTTCCTGGTCAAGATATAGGCTAAGTTTGACAGATGAAACGCATCAGTTTTCCTATTTTGAACCGACAAGTTAATTTTAGGCCGCTTTTCCTCGGCTCATTTTTACTGCTTATCCTTGTGAAGCAGAATATTAATTATGTCGCCCCGAACGAAGTCGGCGACATATTGCGATTGTACGCATGTTTTTGTTCTCCAGGCTGTTTCTCGGAGATGGCTGGGACAATCTTCCTGAAACTTTCTTCAAAGGAGGATCATTGGTTGTAGTTGTGTTGTGTGGTCATTCAGTTTCAAAATGGCTACCGTTGCCAAGGAAACCTGCAAAAAACGACGAATTTTGTCCGCGAGTGTTCTCTCTGGTCCCTTGAACATTCTTCATGAAATTTTATTTATGTAATGATTTAGTATCTGTAATTGTGCTCATTGGATTTAAAAATTGCAAGTTGTCAGTAGTTTCCATGGAAACAGGGGGAAAATGCAAATTCTTTAACTTTGATTTTTAAATCAAAGTACTGAAAGGACTGATACGAGTTGATGGTTGCCCAGGCTTAGCTAATGGGTATTGTTTTAGTGATGAAAAAATGAAAGTCTTGTCAAGTTCGGGGCGACATACGCTATTGCTTGCAATAGCAGACTTTCTAGTTAAATTTCTTTTTGTTTTCATAATTAGCCAGGGTTACTGCCGAATATGTCAGCCTGTTCTTTTTATAAATGTGATGTGTGTAATGTTTCCTTAGGTCAAATATATTTAAATGCGGTCTGAGGGTGTTTTTGTCTTTGAGTTAGTACTCAGCTATAAGTAGAAACAAAACCATGAACATGATGAATATAGATATTGAATTTATTTTTCTGGTTCATTTGCAATTTGTTTATAATATTTCAATGTAGTTTTTGATATCCAGAACTTTGAATGAGGGTGTTCATCTTGCTTAGCCAACATGGATGGATGGACACCCCCATCAATATATACCACCCTGCTTTTCACTTTTTTAAATATCAAGAACATAATTGACCTTGTCATCATGAAAAAAGAAGATATTACTTGTTGCCAACAGCTGTCTGTATATCCGTTGTCTTAATATGACAATTATTTTGGATCTCCTAGAGCAAAACATGCCATTATAATCATATGAGAGGCAGGGGGTATCATTTTGTGAGCTCTTGTGCTCAAAGTACCTCTAGTTAATTCTTATGTGGTGTGTTGATTTTACTTAGAATAACTACTAGTACAGATAAACTTGGTTATAAGGAAGTTACTGGTACTTATAGATTTTAGTATTTATAACAAACATTCCTTACAAAAATATTTCAATATCATGCAAAGTATTTTAAGTGATCAGAAAATTCTTCCTTACAAGTACTCTAAATGTACTGTACATTTGTAGTACCAGTCATCAAGATATCCTTACATGCAAGTTCTTAATATCCAAGTTTTACTGTACACGATATGATGATTAATAAAACATTTACAATATAGGAACATCACTGATGCTGGCAGAGATAATCAAGGTTTTATTTATTTTTTTCCAGGCTGATGAAAATTTAAAAAAAAGAAATACTAAACACGTACAACAGCACCTTTAATTGTAATATAACATGCCTAAAATCTAAACAAAAGGAAGCACTCAAACTGCTGGTTAATGAACAGACAGATGTGGTATGTATGTTGCCGACCGGTTATGGGAAAAGTCTAATATATGAACTTTTACCTATAGCTTACAAAGAGGAAACTAAGGTGGATGTTTTTGTGTTAATCATTGAACCTCTTAACATCATTATAGAGCAGCAACTGAGTAAACTTGGGAAAACACCAGCATTTGCTTAAAAAACAAAATGAATGAAAGTGAAATTGACAAAATTGCATCAGATACTTACACATATATTTTTTCTCATCCTGAAAACATCATTGGTAACAAAGCTGTATATAAAGCTCTACGCTCCTGTCTTCAGAAATCATATATTGCTGTCGATGAGGCACACTGTATTCTAGACTGGGGGGGGGGGGATTCCGTCCTGTTTTTAGAGGAATCAATTTACATGCAAGAGCTGTAGTACCGAATGCTCAAGTGCTGGCATTAAGTGCTACTTTGTCCACAGATGGCCAGAAAAATGTTGCCCAGCACCTGCTGATGACCCAGTATGTGTCCATTATCACAGTTCCAACAAAAGATAACATTAAACTTATCATAAAAAAAGAGACCTGGTGTTGGGAAAAACAAATCCGTACAAAATGCTTTTGACTATGTGTTCGAGTCTGTTTTCTGTGAACTTAAGAAAAAAAATCAAGATTATCCTCTTACACTGATATACTGCTGCGGGAACATGGATTGGGTGGGCAAATGGGTGAACTTGCGGGAAGAATCCTTCGAGATAGCATTTATGGCGGTGATGGGCGATGTCCAGAGAATCTCAGGGTAGTGATGTTCCATTCTGGTTTGGAAAAAGGAGATGAGTTGAATATTGTCTCACACCTATAGAGAGTGAAACTTCTTTAGATAGAAAAAGGACAGATCAATTAGAGTTCCATTAACTGAATAAATTTTTATAATACATATACATGTAAAATCCATCAACTTCCCTGTGTTGGTCTTTGACCTAATTAACAGTCATATGCAATTGATAAAACTGAGAAATTGAATTAAATATTTATGTAGCAAATGTTTGTAATTTCTGTCATAATGGTAGGGTCTTGAAAATCTACCAGGTATCTATGCTGGATTTCTAATTTCTTATTCCAAAAGATTTCAATTAAACTTACTAAATTTTAATAAATGAATTTCAGCTCAAGGATATCATATTTAAGAATCTGGCACAAGATCCAAAAGAGAGTCCCCTGAAAGTTATAATTGCTACTGTAGCACTGGGGATGGGGGCAGACCTGCGGCATGTAGCCCAGGTAATACATGCTGGTCTTCCCCAAAATCTGGAAGGTAAATTTTCTACAATATAAAATACCCTATATTATTGTGGATATAATAATACCAGAAGTAGGAGGTAATCTACAATATATCATATGTATATTGCAGAATTACTTCTACATTATGGAAATTTGTTTCTTGTGATAATGAAAAACGTATTGTAGTGATGGTTATATGTAAAATAATTTGGTTCATATTTACTTAAAAACTTTTCTTCTATGTTTCAATTTTATACATTTAGCATATGTACAGCATATTGGCCGTGGTGGACGAAACTGTGAAATGCAGTGTGAAGCCATTTTGTACTTCAATAGCAGTGACCTTGGGCGTCCAAACATTTCAAAGGAAATTAAGGAGTATTGCACGAATGACTCACTTTGTAGGCGAGCTTTTTTGAACTCCCACTTTGGATTCACAGAATCTACTGCTATGGTTAAAAATTGTTGTGATGTATGTGATGATTCTTGTCCTTCTTCTGAGTCAGCTGAAAAGGATTCTGAGATAGATAAGTCTGTTCTCAGATCTGCATTAACTTCCTTTCTGACAGTTCTGAAAGAGGAAGAGGAAGTAAGCTTTGAGTGTATTGAGCATTTAGTTCGTTTTTCTAGATTACACCTTGCAGAGGAGGAACTGACCTAAGACTTTCAAATTTCCCCCGCAGTTGCAAAGACATTATGACATTATGTTGTTTAATTAAACAGGTCATTGATTTGTCTCTAAATAAGCAATATTTTGAAAAATGGCTTTTATAAACATATTTCAGTTTACAGTACTGTTACAATATACTAGTATGTAAGTTAAACTTCCTTGTTTTTGAACAAGCTTAATAACAGATTTACACAACTCTTGTAATGACTTTTTGTCATAAATCTTCAAAATACATGAAATTTATTATTTCTTAACTAGGATATACACTGATATATAGCATATAATTCTATTACCAAAAAGCAAATTTTGATGTACATGGGACTTGGATATATTTTACGGATGTCTTACCTTAATTTCTTAATCCATGGTAAAGATTGTACTGGTGTTCACGAATCCATGACTTCATTTTCTGCATATTGAGATGACTCATTGGACTCTGGACAGGTTTGGGAAATAATTGTAACTTTCGTCCATCTTTAAAGCCGAAAGGTTTAGTTTCTGCAAGTCACTGATAATCATGCATTCATCAGAGTTTGAAGAAACAACTTTGTGCTTCTGAGAACGTACAATAACCTCAGAGGAATCATCAAAAGATGCTGATATATTTTTGATGCCAGCAAAGGCAGCTGTTCTCTTTGCAATGGCAGTGTCTGTTTTGTTTGAATGGACAGCTTTCAAGTGACCTTTAATTAGTCTCACAATGTGTTCCATCTGTAGGTCTGCAGGAACTGACGAATCAAACTTTCCTTTATTATTGACAAAGAGACCATAAAAAGACTGGTAATCTATCTTCTCATCCAACGTGCACTGCTTCTGGACCAGGAAGTGCAAAATTTCAAGTGCATACTTGGGATTATTATTGTGGCCCTTTAGAATACACATTAAATACTTCATGAGTGGCATAAACCTGTCTCTTTCTGTCTTTTTCTGGAGAAAATGAAAAAACTCAATTATCCATACTAAGGTTCATGACATAATTATTCCATAAATCATGCTCACAAAGTATGGTTTAATGAGATTTAGTAAGCAGAAAACGGAAGACATCCCAAACATTTCCATTCTGAAAACAACAAAAAAACACAAACAATTATCAGTGGCAATAGATTAACTAGTGTGTTCTAAGGCATTTTTCACAACAATTGATGATATATGACACACATTGTAAAAAAAACATCAAAGGTCATTAGGTGAAAAACCATGATAATTTACAAAAGCCATAGGCCCATAATAGTGTCAAATAATGTATGTGCAAAATATCAAATCCATAACTCTTACAGTTCTCGAAATACGAGTTGTGACAGACGAACGGACAGACAAACGCTTGTTAGAGTGATCCCTTAATGTAACTCTGCTCTCGACACAAAAATACATGTTAGTAAAATAATATTTTAACTTTAAACATTGTAAAGAAAACGAAAATAAAAATTTACTGAGAACACACAATTGTAGAATACCTTCTGATGAACCTTTTGTTCTGACAATGACATCGATATCACTCTTTGTACTCGAGAAAGGTCCTTGCACCTCCTCTTCATAAGAATACCATACAGAGTCCCTATCTCTGGACAGATCGTGTCAAAATTTTCATCATGCATTAACTTCCTAGGAAGACACACAGCAAGCAATGTTTCTAATAAACGAGGATTGTGTGAAATAATTTCCTGCACAACATATTCCCATTTGAAATTGGAGAGATCCTCGTATGTGTTACCCCCCAAGTAACTGAAACGCCGTTGAGTTAAATACTTTGCAGATTCTTCAATTTCAAGCAAGAAAAAGCGCCAGATTTCCTCCTTAAAATCTTTCACCTCAGATATTTCTGCGGCCAAATTGTGCATCGAATTGCTTTTTCTTCTGTTATTAGCTAATTTTTTAATCTGAGAATTGACACTCTCCTCATCATCTTCCATTTCTGCTTCCACAGAGTCTCACTCACAATGCTCACCTCTGTTTTTAAAATTTAAAGCAGTGCAACAAATATTAGAAAAAAAGACATTAACCCGTAATTATTTTAGAATATGAAAAAAACATCTTTGAATTAAATTAAGGATGTCATTATGTATGTTTTTTCGACTAAAACTTTATTTTTATGTTGGATTTACTTACACAAACAGTAGGGAGGGGATGCTCATATCTGTTCTACACTCCGCATTCTTTGCTTGAACTTAAAAGTTGTCCACGCTCTTTTTCAATGAAAGATATCTCTTCTCTTTTGTAATATGATCTGCATGATGCACCTATATAAAACAAGGTAAGTATGTTTATTCTACAGTATTGTTTTTTTATCAATCCATAAACTATCAGTATTAACAATCAAATCTATGTGTGATTGACTTTTTTACTAACAACATGAACAAAGGGCACAGATTTTTAGAATATGACAAACACTGAATTTTCTTTATAACCCAATACTCACAACATGAGATGCCAGAAATAGTTGTTTTTGTAACTGCTATAAGAGGTAGAGAAATTAAACAGAAATTTAATAGAAGACTATTATATAAATATTGCATTATTATAAAGATCTGATTAACCATTTAGGTTGAATTCATTTCTTATGTTTGAGATCCACACATCATTATTTTATGATGTAATGATTATGATATTTTATAATACAATGATATTATCTCATATAAAACGAAAGCAAACTTGTTAACATTGACAAACACGAACCCCCGGAAATTCAAAAGGTGACAGCAGGTTCCGATCAGGTGTAAGCATCTCTGTTGATTTAAACATGAACAATAGACGTTTGTGAAATAATTCTGCCCCCTTCCCTTAGACATGCATGCGAAGAAGGTAAAGGAACCTGAAAAATCAATGGATTTTTTTTTCTAAGTACAAGGGGTATATGTCAAAAATTGCTCGATCGTACCCAAATCAGAACGAGTAAAATGCATAAACACGTTTATTGCTATCATTTTCACCTTTTAATCGTATTTAAAAAATGTACAATTACCCAAAATTTAAGGTTAGGAAAACGCAATTTTTAATCATTCAAATGAGGACTGTCTAGTCTTGATTCTTTCTTCAAACAAGCATGTAGCTAATATGTAATAGGATAACTCAGAGACATGTTACTTAAGCATGATATAATACTAGTTTCAGGAACAATAATGAAATTACGCAAAAAATAAAGAGAAAAAAAGCGGTCGAGTATAAAGATCAAATAATCAATTCCCTTGTGGTCTGGGTGGTAACAGTTGAAAGTCGATCCTTACACAGCCGACTTTATTCACACTGCCGGATGAAGACACCGATCCAGTGTCCAATGCACACCCCCTTCCTACAAAGAGTGTCCTCCCAACAATTCAGCAAAATATTGTAAAGGGACGGAAAACAAACGAATTGTTAACAGTTTAAAAAAAAAAAAAACATGTTCAGGAAAATAACCATTCAAGTTTATAATTTTTGAGTTGCAGGTATTTAAACGCAACATTATTATTACTGCGCATATTACCTTTTAATTAAAAAAATGAATTTACTAGTATTTTATTTTAATTCAATATAGACAATAGCCTTGACTTGGGCTCCTAAATATTTCTGTAGTAAAAGATATAGAGGATAAAGGAATAGTGATGAAAAGTTTTTATTTAAGAATTGTAATTTGTTATCCTTTTATCCTATTTTTTTAATTATTATTTTTGTTATTTTGTTTCTGTAAACCTTCATATTTTTATTTTACACATATTTCAGATTTAGTGTGCTTTTAAAAATGAAATTATTAAGATACATGCACATATAACATGCATAATGAAACAAAGTTTTATAAAGTTTATGAATACCGTCTCTTCAAAGGATTATTCCAGACAAGCAACATATCTACTTAGCACCGAGAGCTTGTGATTAGATATCGGATAGGTATAAACTAAATGGTCAAAGTTTACGACCCATGCCGTCCAATTTAACACCCATCACAAGAACCACATTCCCATAAAAAGTCCTGAAGAAGAGATCTAAACAGACACACAGTGAAGAAACCATGGCGACAGAAAAGTAAATATTATATTACTAACGTTCAAGTGTTTATGGAATAATTTCCATTCAATTTTTATAACCTGGCTGTATACTTCAAGAGGAGCGAGGACTGATTTGACTGGCAACATTTGTTTGTCCCTTATTATGCGTTATCAAGTTGTTTCGCGAGAGGACCGTATTTTATGACCTTTTATCTTATTTTCTTTAACATTATACAGTTATAAATTAGCGATAACGCTAACGGAATTCTTAAGCATGAACTTGAATAAAGGTATTGAACACTGCACAGGGGTGTACGTCTGTATTATTCGGAAGACATGTATACAAATCGGACGAGCAGCGGCGCACAGGTTTCTAGGCAATGGCAGGTAAAAATTATTTTTTGTTCTTTCTTTATATCTTCTAAAAGATCCGAGAAAGGGCTTACCCAAGTAAAGAAATTTACAAAAAAGCTAGTATTTTATGTTTTCTTATACTTTGTTCGGACTGAATTATGTACAGGCGGATGCATAATCATGCAAATTCAGGATAACTCGCCGCGTAATTAGACAAAAGTAACCATTTTCCATAATGACCGGCTTGTTATTACAGTCTACGGCCGTGAGAACAATTAAATACAATGTTAAAACCAGAGAGGTAAATCAACAACATAACCTTGTCATTTTAGGCGGCCTATATTACTTTTCATAGTTTTCTTTTCGCGTTACGTTACTATTGCTGTATAAGGCATTCGTCAGCTGACACATTCTTAAAAGTGTTGCATATTAATGTATCTGATTTTATGAACACGTTTTTTCTTTCAGTCCTGACACTGAATATGGCGGACTTGTATGGTATTTAACACACCAAGGACTGATCGGAAGCTGTGAATGATCGACAGGTTTTCTCTTGCGCATGTGCCGATTTTCACCATTATGTCTACCCTGTAGATCCGAATTTGTATGATATTTCATGAACAAATTCGTATTTGCGGCGTAATATGTAGTGGATGACATTGACATCAAGGATATTTTGGATCATGAAGATAAAGTCGAAGGTATTGTCTTG